CTGAGGCGCTGCCTGTCCACGCTGGACCTGACCCTGCTGGGGGTTGGGGGCATGGTGGGCTCAGGCCTCTTCGTGCTCACAGGCACCGTGGCCAAGGACATGGCTGGCCCTGCTGTGCTCTTGTCCTTTGGCGTGGCCGCTGTGGCCTCCCTGCTGGCGGCCCTGTGCTATGCGGAATTTGGGGCGCGTGTGCCCCGCACGGGCTCTGCCTACCTGTTCACCTACGTGTCCATGGGCGAGCTGTGGGCCTTCCTCATCGGCTGGAACGTGGTCCTCGAATACCTCATCAGTGCTGCTGCCATAGCCCGCGTCTGGAGCAGCTACCAGGACTCCATCTTCAGCTACGGCATCCGCGACTTCACCGAGACTCACGTGGGTGTCTGGCAGGTGCCCTTCCTGGCCAGCTACCCAGACTTCCTGGCCGCTGGCATCCTCCTCCTGGCCTCCGCCTTTGTCTCCTGCGGAGCCCGCGTCTCCTCCTGGCTCAACCACACATTCTTGGTCTTCAGCCTGCTCGTCATCCTATTCATCATCATCCTGGGCTTCATCCTGGCCCACCCGCACAACTGGAGTGCTGAGGAGGGTGGCTTTGCACCCTTTGGCTTCTCTGGCATCATGACTGGCACTGCCATCTGTTTCTATGCCTTTGTGGGCTTCGATGTCATTGTCTCCTCCAGCCAGGAGGCCCTGAACCCACGGCGGGCTGTGCCCACGGCCATTGCCATCGCGCTTGGCCTGGTAGCTAGTGCCTACATCCTCGTCTCCACCGTGTTAACCCTCATGGTGCCCTGGCACAGCCTGGACCCCGACTCAGCGCTCGCCAGCGCCTTCTACAGGCGGGGCTATAGCTGGGCTGGCATCATCGTGGCAGTTGGCTCTATCTGCGGTAAGGGACCCTTCTGGGCAGGGTGGCAGGAAACAGGGGCTCTGGGGCCCTGCCATGAGCTTCCCACAGAACATACCTCCATCTGGGCCTCGTTTTCATTAGTTAAATAATGGGCCTAGAAAATACTAATTATTAGAGACCCTCCAGCCAGGCTTGTTAGTAGAGACAACCCCCGACGCCCANCCAGGTTGGGTTCCACCAGGCTCCCTCTGTTACCCTTGACCCATCCCAGCCCTCCAGCAGGAGGGGACAGAGAGAGGACTGGGTGTGGGTGGTCTAAGAGGGACTAAAGGCTGGCCAGGACCCGGCTGGGCAGCCTGTCATTCCTCTCTGGCCCTAGAAGGTTCCGGCGGCTGGCTTGGTGCTCCTCTCAGCTGCCTGCCATGGCCCGGGGACTGCCCAGCGCGGCCAGCCTGGCGCGCTTCTGTCAGAAGCTGAACCGGCTGAAGCCGCTGGAGGAGTCCACCATGGAGACCTCGCTGAGGCGCTGCCTGTCCACGCTGGACCTGACCCTGCTGGGGGTTGGGGGCATGGTGGGCTCAGGCCTCTTCGTGCTCACAGGCACCGTGGCCAAGGACATGGCTGGCCCTGCTGTGCTCTTGTCCTTTGGCGTGGCCGCTGTGGCCTCCCTGCTGGCGGCCCTGTGCTATGCGGAATTTGGGGCGCGTGTGCCCCGCACGGGCTCTGCCTACCTGTTCACCTACGTGTCCATGGGCGAGCTGTGGGCCTTCCTCATCGGCTGGAACGTGGTCCTCGAATACCTCATC